ACGTTGAGTTATTGGGTGAATGTTACTGTTGGTATCTTTAAGGAATTTAACTACGCTTTCTATCACTACGCTTGTATTCAAAGTTTTCAAAGTTCATCATAACGTTGGACAATATCCAAAGTGGAGATGCAATGTATTAAAAATGATTAAAAGTGTCGCATAATTTGCAGTTTTATAATTATAAATGTATTTATGGTAGGTTTTACGGTTTTGCATTGGCATCTTTCCAAGATGTGAAAATATGCTTTATTAACAAGATATTGCTGAGACTCTTGTGGAATAAGTATTTTAACTTGGAAAACGTTATCTCCTTAGTAGATGAATGTGATACCGTTTTGAAACTGAAGTAACGGATGTCACTGGTAGTAGTATATTTCACTTGATTGAGTTTTAAGACTAATAAACAAATAGATAAATGCCATAACCCATGAGCTAGGGATAAATCAAATAACTATCGGTGAGCATATCATCTCACGGTGCTGGTTGTTTTATGAGGAAAATTCTAATTTAATTAGAATGGGAGGAGATATTGGTGTAAGATTATCATTAGAATTATTGTTGATAAGGTATGGAAATAATTTTCCCATAAAAATGAAATATTTAAAAGTGTGGGGGTGCCTAAAATGTGGGGTACCTTACAGAAATAATATTGGTGGAGAAGAATATGTTTTAAGTTATGTTAGTCTCATTTTGCAAATCTCAATATGTGTGTTGTGATTTTTTTTTTTAAAAAAAGTGGAGGCTTTGTTATTTGCTATTGAGAACAAATTTTGTGAATTATCAAATTTTCTGTGTTGCTTAAAACAAGCATTATGTGGGTATGAAAATTTAATCATTTATCTGGTGTAGAGACAAATATGTTTTAATTTTCATAATATCATTATTTGAGAATAAATAACTTATCTTGATATAAATATGTATGAGTATGCACAACTATTATGAATACTGAATGAGGATTAAGTGTTGAAATCATAAAGGAATGAGATTTTGAGAGAAATGTTTCTAAAGCTTGGGTTTTGAGAACCAATATGTGATCGACCCTTGTCGATGAGTTGTGATTGCTAAATGGCAATAACCATTGTAGAGAGAATAATGGTGCAAGTGGAAATCACTTAGCTTGAGATACAATGTGAATAAGCATGCTTAAAAATTGCAGAGGTATCTCAATCAATTTTATGAAGTCAAAATGGACCTAGTGGATTCGTTAATAACCCTAGGAAGAAACAAATCAGTCGAGGGGAATGGGACTAAAGCCACTTGAAATTGACAGCGATGACAATCCAACCTTTGTGATTGGTGATCCCATGAAGAAGGTTCAATAGGTAAAAACAAGTCGTTTGTCAGTTCTGCTAGCACTAAAATACATTATTAGTCCCTTCCTATGGCATGAGAAAGTGCTAGAATGCAATTTTGTGAGACTGAGCGAAAGCTCTTAATGATTTCATAATCCTACGAGATGATGTGCTCATTGCAAGTACATTTAATGAAATCACCTCTACGAATGTGGAGTGAGACCGCTCCTATGAGATCGTGGCAAAATCTCTAAAGCATTCGTTATGCACCAGGCACGTGCATGGCCGTCTTAATGAGTAAAAACGCCGTTAACAGTGGAAATGTGGGGGTATAATCTGACTAATAATGCCTCTAGTATACGCCTAAGAGGTGTTGGTTTTAAGTTCATAGGACCACCAACATCTCTGTGTAGTAAGTGTTATTGGTCTAGGTCGGGTTTTAAGTCCAAAGGACCACTAGATACAATGGTTATACTCATGTGTGTAACTCAACTAAAGGTACTTCCTTTGACACATGTGGGGGATTGTTGTAAATAATGTGTGTGGGTGTGTCAAAGGAAGAGTCTCACATTACTTGGGATTGTGAGGGTCAAAGTAATAAGTGGTCTTGGGCTACCAAATAGGCCAAGAGGAGGAGTGGACTTACACGCACAATGGGCCATCGGAAACAAATCCGGCAATTTCCCCTCACCCCCTTGTGCACGAGTCAAATGCAGTACTGGGCATTTTATTGGAAATATCTATCTAAATTTTAATTATAATTATGCCTCTTCAGTGTTTGTAACCGAAGACTTTATTCTTCTTAAATAGTCATTAAACAAGTTAATTACTACTTGAAACCGCTCATTTAATTATGAGTTAATTATCATTAAACGCGTTTAAATGTGCCCAATGGTATTGTGATCTGTCGCCTATAAAAGGGGCATGAGACGGAAGTTCAAAGAGAGACCGCCGTGCTTGAGCTTTCTGGCAACTCTCTTCCCTCCTCTGGTGTTCTGTCTTACTGAGTTCTTTGCCTTTGCTGTTTGCTCACCTGTTCTTACAGGAAGAATCCATTTAATCCTGGGGAGTGCCGCTTCTTGCTTTGCCGGTAGTTGCGGAATAGCTTTAAGACAGTGTCTGTAAGACACGACTCGGATTTACCATTCTTTGCAGGTGCTGCTGTCAACAGGGTTTGCCTAGCATTATAGAGGAGGTGGAAAATCTACTGGATCTTGGAGAATTTTGGTGCTACCGCCTACACTCTCTAGCTAGGATGTAGTGCTTAGGTGGATCTTGCAGGCACAATGGATTGAGTTCCTTTTTTTTTTTTCTTTTGAAATGTCGATAAACTTATTGATTATTATTTAATTGTATGCTTAATTATATATTTAAATTTCTGGCTTCCAATCAAATTAAAAAGATGTGATTCGAAAAATCAATTCACCCAGTGTGATTTAGTTTTTTCATAAGATAAACCCCAAAGTGAAATGCAATATAAAACTGCACCATTGGAGCGGACTATAATTAATTGACCGGATTTGGCTGAATTAATCAAGTACCTTTCGTCACGGTTGATTGAGAAAATGATGATTGATGATAGTCAATTTTTAAAATATTTAGGATTTCTTATTTATCCGTATTAAATGTAAAATATGTAATAATTTAAGCTATTTACAAAGGAATGGACGATATAAGTTATTTTTTGAATTTCTTATATTTAAATTTTACGAAATACTCAAAATAATCTCACCTGATGTGCTTAAAACTATAATACAAGCATATGCTATTTACTATTAAAATTTATTATTTCCTTCTATCCTTGATGTATGATATACTATATATCATTATACTAATGATTATTATAACGTTAATGACTTCTTAATACCATCATTTATGTATTAATAATAAATAAATAATTTCAATTATTAATCACCGTAACTTTAATTATGTGCATAAAAACGCATGGCATTTCACCCACAATTATTCTCCGCACAATTGTACAGTAGCATACTCTTTAGTTATACAATGGAGGCAAAATTAATCTTTTCATTTTTAGAATTTTAACCCATTTGCAACTTAGTTCTTATACTATGACCGGATACAACTGAGTTTCTATAATTTTGAATCGGTCGTAACTCAATTTCTAAATTTGACTTGCCACAATTGCTCCTTATAGTTTTACTAATTTTATAATTTAGTCATTATGTTTTAAAAAAATAAAATTATATATCTAATAAAGAGAGGGAATAATTATAAAATGATTAAAGGTATAGGGACATAGTTGCAGCGGGTCAAATTTTAGGGATTAAGTTATAATCGAGTCAAAATTATAGAAATTAAGTTGCATTGGATCGAAATATAAGGATTAGGTTATAAATGAGTTAAAACTATAAAGACAAAAGAACTAATGATCCCTATAATGAATTAATGATTAATGATGGGCCGCATGCATGCACATGCATACAAAAATTTCATAAAAGCCATATTAATTACAGATTATATGAATCCTGAAATAATAGTAAAAAACACATTCTATGCCCATTAAAAAGATGACTACGAAGTTTATGTTTTATTCTGAACCATCCAAATTTATTTTTGATGGTTCAGATTCTATAAACGCGATGAGCATATAATAGATTTGATTTATTTCTCGAGAGAAATTGTTGATTCTTAATTAGATATATATATGTAAAATTCATTATTCATATGCTTTAATTACAAAATATCTAGCTAACTGGTGTAAATTAAACACGAAACTCACAATGTGTAATTTGGTTTGCAGATAACTCTAACTCGTGGTCCAAAAAATTTTTAAAAAAAAGATTTAATTTTTACAGAAGCAATCCGATCCATCTATAGCCTCACAAGTTGATGATAAGTATTATAATTTCTTGAGTGTGGTAACTAATTAATAAAGGATTACCTAATAGGTTATATTCATTTAACAGATGATTTTTGTACTTGTGCATGGTACGGTACTTTGCATGTATTTCAGAAAGAAGACGTCATTAGTATTCGAAGCATCTTTTATATAATGCCTCGAACCCTGAATTTAGATGCGTGATCACCAATCACACTCTTATGTTCATATATAAATGCTTTGAAACGATAAACATAAATCTAAAAGGAAAATTATATTAAGTACAACAAAATAGAGGGCTTGTTTATTGTTCCGATGGAAAGAACAACCTATGATTAGTTTTTTGAGAAATTTTTCAAATGAACAATTTCAACGAATCTTTCAATTTCTTATGTTCAACTCTATGTATTTCTCTATTCATGGAGCACAGGAATGACTATAACAGAGTTTCTGTTATTCGTACTAAGAACTATTCTAAGAATGTAAAAACAAGAACAAGAAACATCTTAAATTTTTTTTTTTTTTTTAAAACAACTAATTAAAACTAAATTACCAAACAAGTTTTTTAGTTTTCTAAAATAAAAAATTGTTTTCAAAACAAAAACTGAAGGCTATACATTTATAGTAGATTTTCTGTAATCTATACAAACCCAATTGTTTCATTGAACACGCATAAATTTTCTGCACCAAGCCAGGTCCTTCACCTTGGGTCACTAAGAAAAATGGAAAGAACATTACTACCAGGATATGAAAACACACAAGGTGCATGATTTGAAGAAGACGACCATGCTTATAAAAGCCTCAAATCATTCGGAACCAAAGACCCAATAATCAACCAGCTAAAGCTTGTATAAACATTAATCGACATGGAAGAAGTAGTCACCGAGGTTGTCATTGTAGGTGCTGGGCCTTCTGGTCTTGCAACCTCAGCTTGTCTAAAACAGCATTCGATTCCTCATATAATCCTTGAGAAAGATGATTGTAATGTTTCTCTTTGGAGAAAACATACTTACGATCGAGTCAAGCTTCACTTGGCCAAAGAATTCTGTTCTTTACCCTTAATGCCTCACTCGCCTTCCAGCCCAACATTTCTGACCAAAACTGAATTCCTTAACTACATCGACAACTATGTCAGTCATTTCAACATAAATCCTCGTTACAATCGAATGGTTGATTTCGCTGGGTTCGATGAAGTTAAGAAGATGTGGAGGATTGAAACGACGAATAATACTAAAGAAGCTGGAGGGTGTCGTGAAGCTTACGTGGCCAAGTACGTGGTGGTGGCGACTGGTGAGAATAGCGAAGGGTATATTCCTGAGCTGAGTGGATTGGACAGCTTCGAAGGTGAGATAGTTCACTCGAAGAATTACAAGAACGGTTCAAAGTATAAGGGAAAAGAGGTTCTAGTTGTTGGCTGCGGAAATTCTGGGATGGAGATTGCTTATGATCTTAATGACTTTAAAGCTCGAACTTCCATTGTTATCAGAAACCCTGTGAGTTTCCTTAACTTCCATTGTTATCATATTTCAAATGTTATATGTGTGTGTGTAAATATATATATACACACACGATTGATGATTTGTTTGTATATATAGGTGCATGTGGTTACAAAAGAAATGGTGCATCAAGGCATGTCGATGTTGAAATATTTGCCGATTCAAAAGGTGGACGCTTTTATAACGTTTCTTGCAAACTTTGAGTATGGTGATCTCTCCACTTATGGTATTCATCGACCAGACCAAGGACCGTTCTTCCTTAAAAAAACCACTGGCAGGTCTCCTGTCATTGACATTGGTACCGTTCAAAAGATCATTGACGGAGAAATTAAGGTTTTGTATCGTCATTATTACATTCAAAACTTCTTCTTTATCTGATCTCTCTGTATATGTGCAATCGGTTAATATAAAATACCAGTATTTAAATGCTTTCTCATGTATATGTATGCGTGCTGTGCAGGTCATTTCTACCGGAATAAAGAGAATTGAGAAGAAGAAGGTGATATTTGAGAACAATATGGAGAAAGATTTTGATGTGATCGTGTTCGCCACTGGGTTTAAAAGCGTAGCTAATAATTGGCTCAAGGTAGTAATTCAGCTCCTTTTTAATGGAAGTTCATATGTAAGTAACGATTAAATATTTGAATTTTCTTACAAGGAGAGGTTTTGATTGATGTAGGACTATAAGTATGTTTTGAACGAGAAAGGGATGCCAAAGAACGAAGCTCCGGGTCATTGGAAAGGAGAGAAGGGGATATACTGTGCAGGACTTTCAAGGAACGGTCTTTTTGGAGTTTCCATGGACGCAGAGGCTATTGCAGATGACATCAATCTCACTCTCAAATTGGCGGCTTAGGCTTTTCGAAACCTCTCTCTTTTTTTCTTGTCATTTTTTCTTTCTTTTTTTTCTTCTAATTATCGGATTAATTTTCAACTGTTGAGATTTAAATCTTTTTAAAATTATTATTAAAATATTAAATATAAAAACAAATAAATTATAAATTATAAACTCTATTAAACTTTAATTCTAATGATTTTCAAATTCATTAAATATTTTTAAAATTTTCTTATAAATAGTTTATAAAAATTAAAATCTCAACTGTCGAAATATGTAATCCAATAATTAAAAAAAAAAAAAAGAGGGAAGAAGATAGAAAGGAAAGAGAAGAGGTTTTGAACCAATACTATAATTCATGAGATTACCTATATATTTGGGAAATTTGAGGATTTTGTTTGTTTTGCTGGGGGAGTTTGGGGTTTTCATGAGAATTTTAATTCTCATAGATACTCTCATTTACCAACGCCAATACTTCTTTTTATAATAAATATGGCTAGCTCCATTATATGGCAGAGATTATACAACAATAACAAAATATAAGAGTACTGATCTCTTTTCATACCTAAAGGGAAAATTGATTTAGAAAAAAAATGGTTATCTTCATGCTTTGAAACTTGTAAAAACCTGCAATTTATTATAGAGAAGGACTTCAACAAAATAGATAATTAAAATAATGGTGTAAATTGAGTAAAAAGAGAGAAAGTATATTAAGAGGAATTATGATAGTTACTCTTGATCCTAATATAAGATTCATTTGATAATTTTTGTATAAAACTAAATATAATAATTAAGCTTGATTAGGGATTTTTTACATATAAATATTAAATTTTAATCGTTAAATAGTATCTTATTGAAAGCAATGAAATAGAATTTGAGAACTCGGGTTATTGTTTCGTATTGAAATTTGAAAAAGACATGCCTGGAGATCTCTGTAATATCTTGTCAACTGAAAATTCAAATAACTATATGGGAGCTTATTATGCTGTATAGAGTTTAAGAAGTTTGAAGAGCAATGATTCTCATTAATACCGTATGGCATAAAAAATCATTTTATTTTTATATAATTATTTTTGTAGCGATATACCGTCAGTAGTACCCCATTCCCTAACTAGAAAATACCGAAAATAACCAACAGGCAAAAGAAATTCATTTTTATATAATTATTTGATATTTAGTACTTTTGAGTTTTGAGTCATATTTAAAACTTGTTATTTTTACAATTATAGTGTTTCACTTTATAATTGAATTTCTTTTACTCCACCGTGCCAAAATAAAACATTTGTTTATTTGGACAATGAACACAGTTTTTGTTATTTGTGATGCATATATTGATATATTGATTTTTGTGATGCATATATTGATATATTGATTTAGTTTTGAATTAATAATTAATCAATAATTGGTATGGAGCTAGGAATTGGAATATTTTTTCGGCCGAGAGAAATTAAGTTTTTTTTTTTTTTTTGACCTGAAGGAGAAATTAAGTTATTAACGGGGAAGCGGACATAAACCCACCACAAATCCAGAATGCAAAACCCAGATGAAGTCACTTGAATTCACTCGGAGTTTCCCGGCGATTGGTGGGATAAAGGGTAAAAGCAAGTAATGAGAGGTAGAGACGCAGAATTCTTTTGCGGCCAAACATGAATTCCCCATTCCCCAACACTGTTGATATTCTTCACTCTTCAAAGCTCGTATCTAGCTCTAAAGCCCTCTTCGGCTATTTCCCGCCATTTTTCTCTCGATTTTCTTATCGTAAACGCGTTCCGAGGACCAGATTACGGTATAGCAAGCCTTGCACTAGTCACAGGACGATTAGAATAACTGCTTACAAAGCTTCGGATTCAACTTCCAGTCTTACTGTAACCCAGAATGAGGAAGAAGAAGATGCTGAGTCCGTTAAGCTATTCGAGGTTGATTTTTTCACTCCCTTTACCACTTTCTCTGTTCTGTTGTATTGAATGGAAACAATGGAAAAAAAGTGAAGAGCGTAACATAGTTCTGAAAATGGCAACTTCGTTGCCTGTATGCTATCCTTTGTTCTGTTATTTTGTAAATAACTAAATTGGAGTGGGACGGTAAGCCACATTGAGAAAGTTTCGCTGATGAATTTGACATTCGGAAGAAAATAGAGTTTCTTGGAGTTGATACATGGGCAATTTAAAGTAATGAACCTCTTCGAATTTTCGATAGGAATGCATCAGAAATGGGGTATCTGTAAAACAGAGGGAGTTGGAGTTCTGCCTGAATCTGACTCCACCTCTGGCATTAGAATGTTGCTTCTTCTTTTCTTCTTCTTTTTCCCTAGGCCTTTCACTGATCCTTGAAAACTTGGGCTTCTTTCCTTTTTCCGTTCTTGAGTGTTTTTGGGCGGGGGACGTGGGGGTTCTTGGTTTGGACTTTTCTGATCAGTAGAGTGCGACGGGACCGAGCGGGAGAAGTTTCGACTCCCGTATGTAATATGGTCTTGTTATGGAGCAAGTGATTGTGGATCATTCCTTTTTGGTGGAATACTTGGAGTTCTCCTTCATGTGAGAAGTAGTGTTGGTTAGAAAAAAATTGAAGTATAGGCTTTGTCACTTAGAGTGTTTGGTACCAAGGGTTGGCCACATCTGGTATGCCTTTGAGAAGCGAATTACATTTGAGACAGATATTTATACGAAACTTTTTGGTTTTCAGTTTCTCATTTTTGCCGTTGCGTCTTAGAGGTACAACTTTCTCTTATTTGGCGTAATTTGTTGGAAGCTGTTACATGTTCATGTGATGACAAGGATATCACATTTTGAACTTTCAAAATATTGAGAATAATATAAATATGATATCTTTCAGAAACTGAAGGAGGCTGAAAGGAAAAGAATAAATGACTTGGAAGAATTTGAGAACAAGGCTAATGTGCAGTTAGAGAGGCAGCTTGTTATGGCTTCATCTTGGAGCAGAGCTTTATTGACTATGCGTGGCAAACTAAAGGGTACTGAGTGGGACCCAGAGACCTCACACAGGATAGACTTCAGTGATTTTCTGAGACTACTTGATTCAAATAATGTCCAGTTTATAGAGTACTCAAATTATGGGCAAAACTTATCAGGTAGATTATTTATTTTTTCAGATTACTTTACTGAACACTGATTTCTGACGAGTTTTGATTGGCAATTACATATCAGGTGGTCACTGACTTTAAATGCTAGCAAGAAAATATATTAGAACAAACTATAGTTCGTGCTACTTTTGTTTTCACTTTTCAGTCCATAGGATGGTTTACCGACATAACATAGCTCAGTGTGAATATCATGTTATGATATTTCATGCTAAATATTGAATGTTTAATTCAGTACATTACATGGTTGATCCATCCAGTTCGATATTCTGCACTATTTTTTATAGTGCATTAATCATATCTAAGTAAAGGAAAAATCCTTGGCCTTGTATACTTAAGTGCTTGTTTCCAATCAAATATATGGAATTTTTTTATATATTATTTATTCTATAACAAAATATTGTTATTATATTATTAACACTTTAAAATCTACTTGTTCTGATTTGATTGGTAAGTATATAAGGTTAAGTGCTAAGTCTAGTCCTTATGTTAATAATCTAAATATATTGGTAAACGAAGGCTTTGTTTGGAACTTTTGGAGAGGAGGGGATGGAATGGTAAGGGAAGGGATGGAATGAGAAAAGATGAATACATTGTAAGTGATAAAGACGAACTCTCCACTCCTGACCTAGTTTCATTATAAAAAAATGGACAACAGTGGCTCTATAACAAATGAACTTCAGAATTGGCACTACTCATCAAGTCTATCACAATGTGCAATTTTCTCTTGGTGTTTATAGTGGCAAGGAAAAGGCTAAAGAAGGATATAAAATGATCAAGTGTGAATCTCTTTGTCAGAGATTGCTTGTAATTGTGAGTGGATGCGTGTAGATTTTGCCTTTTTGTATTTTTATTTTTTGTTTTTCAATAACCAGGGGAAAAAATCACTAATGCTGTGACGCACTGAGTTCTATAATCATACAAAAATTGTTAGTAGAATGCTTAAACTGTCCTTCCATATTTGCTGCTCCATACAATCTTGTTTTGAAAAACAAGTTTTCTTTTTGGTGAAAGCCTCATGTCGAATATTTATTGACTCAATTATGCAGTGATTCTACCGTATTATAAGAATGGCAATTCATCAGGAACTGAAGCGGATCCTAAGGATATTGTGTTTCGGCGTCATGTAGTTGACCGAATGCCAATAGATTGCTGGAATGATGTTTGGAGAAAGCTGCATCAACAAGTTGTTAATGTTGATGTTATTAATGTGGATGCTGTACCTGCAGAAATATACTCAACCATTGCAACCGCAGTCATATGGTCTATGCGGCTTGCTCTAGCTGTTGGTTTTTATGTATGGATTGATAATTTGATGAGACCAATATATGCAAAGTTGATACCTTGTGATTTGGGAAATCCTAGTCCACAAGCTAGGCAGCCACTTGAGCTACGTACACTAGGATCACTAGGCAAGAGCCGGTAGGTGGAGAACTTTTCTTTTTTCCTTTTACCTGTTCCACTTTTTAGCTGGAGCTTGACTTTTGTTGCATACGTCAAGGTTTTAGGTCTTTAATGTGTCCATTGTTCTACTTATAGTTATGAGAAGTAAAGGATGTGCCCTATTATATGATCTTTATTGAATGCTTTATGCTTTTTTCTTAGGTAGTTCTTTAATATTATCAATTCATGATTTTGGAAAAAATATTTGTCAACATTTTTGGAGGTAATAGGACCATTTATGGGATGCTGTTCATTTTCTTTTGGTTAACACTAGGTGAAGAGGGGTGGCTATTTGGACAGCTGCTTATTATTTAATTTGGAAACTTATTCGGAACTTCATATGCTTTATTCTTAAACCATGCTCAAAAGTCAGATCAGTCTGCAGAGCACTGCTGTATGCTATTGACATCCTAAAAGCTAAGCAACTTAAGGCACTGTTATGAACTTAACCTGCGGGCTTGCTTTAGCTTCACCATAGAGTCAAAAATCATCTGGAATAATAGCCACTTTCAGCTATGCCTTTAAAGGGTTTCAATTGTGCTGCTTATAATTATTTTGATATTCGCTTGGTTGCAGAATCACAGTGGGCAGGACACTGTGTCTCCCTATCTTGGGCTTGCCTAAACATTTGTTATTTATTATATTTCTTTTTCTTCATTATATTCAAGAGAATTGAAAAGAAAAAACATATCTGTAGGTTTTTTTCACTATCTAGAATTTTGTTGATGCTTCTTTGATTAGAAAGTTCAACATTTTTGCAAGATTTTAAGTAATATGAATTCTGGTTTTCAAGTGACAGGTTCATGATAACTGATTATGTCTTGAAATTAGTTGGAAAGTCAAAGTGCAGAGTGCAGTTATTTTCAATGCTGAAAGAAAAAAGAATTTCATGACAATGCCTGCTATTAAGATCTAATTTTTCTGGTTTCCCTCAGGGCTAAATTTATATCTGCAGAAGAAAGAACTGGTGTTACATTTGAAGATTTTGCTGGCCAGGAATATATAAAAAGGGAACTACAAGAGATTGTCCGAATTTTAAAGAATGAAGAGGAGTTTCAAGACAAAGGAATTTATTGTCCAAAAGGTGTGCTTCTCCACGGGCCTCCTGGAACTGGCAAAACATTGCTGGCTAAGGCTATTGCCGGTGAAGCAGGGCTGCCTTTTTTTGCAGCAAATGGCACTGATTTTGTAGAGGTGTTGCCTATTCTCTAATGTTATTCATTAAATTGAAGAAAGTTACAAGAAAGAGCATTTGAATTTTATCACAGAAAATAATGTAGTTGGGAACTCAAGTTACTGGTTACTGTTGAAAGTTCAACTCCAAAATCATGAAATCTTCTAAAGGACAGGGATGGAGATTCTGTATAAGCTGGGCAACAAAGTCAAATGACTAGATGTGGGGCCATGTACTGCATGGAGTCTAAGAAATAAGTTCCACTATTTATGGCTTCAACTCCCATAAAATTTAATATATACTCCCTTCGTTCCCTTTTACAAGCTCTTGTTAACTACTTTACGTAAGTTAAGAATGTTAGTTGAAATTAGTTTTTTTTTTTTTGGGGGTTAAAATTTCAAAATTACCGTCAACAAAAGTCATTATTTATAGGAGTTTTGTTGGTTAATTAGGAAGTTTTATTGTTAGTTAGGATATTAGGTTGAAAAAAACCATACTTTGGGGAAAAGATGTTATATTATAAAGAAGTCCTTATGAGGACCAGAGGGAGTATATTGATAATTGATATTGATGATTAGTAATTAGTTGATGTTTCACTGCCTAATAGCTAGCCCTTCTCATAAAACACAGACAAGTTTTGCGCAGAAAAAAGTACGATAACTTGTTTCATCTGTTTTTTATCCTCACGTTGTTCTTTGATAATGCAGATATGCTTTGCTGTATCTGTTTTTTTCATCTTAGTAATTCAAGTTAGAAAGCAATTGGTTGGTTTAACTTCTCTGCTCAGATGTTTGTAGGGGTTGCTGCATCACGTGTTAAAGACCTTTTTAACAATGCCAGATCATTTGCACCTTCGATCATTTTTATTGATGAGATAGATGCTATTGGGAGCAAGCGGGGAGGACCAGATATTGGCGGAGTAAGATATAAACAATCTTTTCACTCCTGCGGCTATGGATGTATAGAATGTCAAAGAAAATTATTTATTTATGTTCTAGAGCATTTTTAGGATTTATTTCATGACATTACTCTTCATATATTACAAAATTTTCCTGAGACTCAAATCATTCTACTGAGCTAGTTTGGTTCTGAAATTTTTATGTATCTTCCAGTTAAATGCAATTGCACACGGATATAAAATTTAGTGGTCTTCAGTAATATTGATAAGTTGATACTCAGCTTAAAGTAATTATATTTTCATCCAACAATTTTGGATGAGTACTGAATTTGGTGAATGTGTGCACAAGATGTGATAAAGTTTATGGTGGCATAAATCTGCTGCTATCAATCTTCATCACTATAGTGTCAGCCATGTATTTAGGCAGGGTATTGGGTAATTTTCTGGTGGAGCCAGACATATCAAGCTTCTGAACACAGGATACAAGTGCTTTATATACTCTCGTCAATCCTCAACAGTTACAAGAAGCCATGCTCTCAAATATTTCTGGTCAGTGTGTGAAATAAAAAATGGCAACTTCTTTGGATGATTGAGAGAGAGGGAACAAGAAAATTACATTTATTTATACTTTCAGGCTTACAGTGCTATGCGTTTTAAAGATAGAGGTGTTAATAAAGGTATCAATGGTGGTGAATACATGATATTTTATGGGGCACTGATTCCTTACTTCCATTCCATGCCAGCCATTTATGTGTTTTGGTTCTTCTTGGGCTATATTGATGACAGAAAAGCATTTCATTTATTCACTGCGAAACCTGATTTTTGTTTTGCCTAAGTCATACTTTCCTTTCTTCACTCACTTCACTATGCTCCCTTGTTTCCACCAATGAAACCTCTGTTTGCAATTGCGCTATATAGGGTGGGGCGGAAAGAGAACAAGGCTTACTTCAAATTCTGACTGAGATGGATGGATTTAAAGTTTCTACGGAACAGGTATGCTTCTAAATAGTTTTCAATATCATAAGAAGCTTATTCTTTTCTAATGTGCTAAGCTTGAAACTTGAGTTTTAGGTGCTTGTAATTGGTGCAACAAATAGATTGGATATTCTTGATCCTGCTCTCCTGAGGAAGGGTCGTTTTGATAAGATTATCAGAGTTGGCTTACCATCTAAAGATGGAAGATTGGCCATTTTAAAGGTTTTTTTTTTTTTTTTTTTCCGGTTTGGGAAGGGCATGATCTTTACATGCATTTTGGGATACTTGCTTTCTTTAAGTTTTTTTCTCATTGATTCTTCTTTTATGCGTTCTAGGTGCATGCCAGAAATAAATTTTTCCGTTCAGAAGAGGAAAAGGAGATACTACTAAACGAAGTTGCTGAGCTCAGTGAAGATTTTACTGGGGCAGAGCTACAAAATATATTGTAACTAATTTTTAATTGAGTCCATGGTAATCCTCTGTCAATCTGACATGCATATTGATTCATCATGAGTTATATCGCAGGAATGAAGCTGGAATTTTGACAGCCAGGAAGGATTTGGATTACATTGGACGGGAAGAGCTACTTGAGGCTTTAAAGAGGGTTGGTGTTTTACCCCACCTTTTTTTGGATCTAAATGGCAATAATTTTTCCTATTATGTGCTTGATGCATTCCTTTTTATTTGTCGTAAAATTCATGTCCCCTAAATTATCTTATGGATTTACAGCAAAAAGGAACATTTGAAACTGGGCAAGAGGATAGTGCTGAAGTTCCTGAAGAATTGAGACTGAGATTGGCTTACAGGGAAGCAGCTGTTGCTGTTCTTGCATGTTACTTTCCTGAACCCCACCGTCCTTTCGTTGAGGTTGGGGCTGAGATATTTCTATGTTTTGTTTTGCAAGTTCATTGTATTGGAGAAATGATGATTCACTGCTGTGTTTATGGTGTTGCAGACCAACATAAATTCCATCAGCAGCCAACCAAATATGCAGTATGTGGAAGCTCCTGGAAAGGTTTTTGCAAGGAAATCAGATTACATAAATTCTATAGTGCGTGCTTGTGCCCGTAAGTTGTTATGAGTTTCTGATTTATTGTCTTGTAGATGTTTCTTAAACAGTTCAAGCTTCTTTTCACTGGATAGTCATTTATCTCAGTACTATTGACAGAACCAGTTGTCTAGGTTTGAGTTGAGATAGTGATGAAGACTAAGGTAATATGAAATGCCTAAGACCCACATTGAGTAGTATGAGATGCTCTATGTGGTACTCCCTCTGTTTCAATCTATAAGACGTGTTAGGAACAAATTGTGAAGACCAATAAACCTCATTAAATACAGTTTGAAACCTTTTTTTTTTTTTTTGGGAAAAAAGTAGAAACTTCCAAAACTGCCCTTCATTCGAAACTAACCTCTAATTAACTCACGCTAAATTAATGAAGGATAGTTTTGGAACAAGGTCATTAATGAATCACAGTTTCGCCAAAACATCTTATGACATGAAACATTAAACTACTCTGAAAATGTCTTCTAGATGTCTAGTTATTGGGGGAGCTTCTCCTTCCCACCACGCTATTGATCAATTGGTATTAGAAACAGTGTTTAGTGTCTCTCATAAGGGCTACATGCATAGGGTTCTAACTCGTGAAGGGTTCTGATCAATGAGAATGTTGAGTGAAGTGTTATTAATTGAAGAGTTTAGAGTGTAGCCAGTGTATGTTGACTCTCAGTGGGGCCAATTGATTGAGACTAAGGTAGTATGAGATGTCTAAGTTCTACATTGAGTAGTATGGGATAATCTGGGTTATTTTAATGAATTGGTTCTCCTAGCACTAGGTAAAGTCTTTTGCTTAATGTGAGAGTCATTGAAGTTGTCATCTACCACACTATGATTCACAAAAATCACCTTATGAAAGTTAGTTCCATGTAGGTTTCTTAAGAAGTTGAACATTTAGAGAACTGATCTATTTTATTGTGTTGAGTTATATAGTTGGGAAGTCTTTTAAAACCAGAAGATATTTATAGATTTGAGAAAGAATTACTTGGATGATATGGAACATGAAATTATATGGGAGAATGGTGGTCTTGAAAGCTTTTGAGTGAAATTAGGAACTAAATCTGTTCTGCAGTTTAATTGTTGGTTCATCATCTCTGATCTTTTACGTGCACTTCCCTGCCCCTTTTTATGATTTGTAGCAAGAGTAATTGAGGAGGAGATGTTTGGGATTGACAACTTGTGCTGGATCTCTACAAATGCAACGCTGAAAGCTTCAAGGCTTGCTGAATTTTTAATTCTGCAGACGGGAATGACTGCATTTGGGAAAGCATTCTACAGAAATGAACGTGATCTTGTGCCTAATGTATGTGGAGAGTCCGACTGTAACAGCTACTTTTACAACATGTTTTCTGGGACTTTACAGAAGTGTTTATATTACAATTATAGCAAGACTAAAGGTAAATTGTTTACAACAGTTAACAATGAAGCTTGAAGCACTCCGAGATGAGTATATGCGTTATGCTGTGGAGATATGTTCATCAGTGCTACGAGAGCACCATTCAGCTGTTGAGACAATCACAGGTCTCATTCTGTGCTTATTTGCTCATTAACAAGATGGGCTTTGTCTTTCAGTAGCTTCATTTAATTCACATTGTAGTAGTTAAGATCTGAGCTGTGACAATTAGGCTTACTACAAGGTAGGCTAGCAGGTTTTGGTGAAGTTTCATGTAGAAAGTTCGTGAAAACTGACAAGACTATTCCACGCTCACCATTGTGCAGATATTTTGCTTGAAAAGGGACAAATTAATGCTGAGGAAATCTGGGAAATTTATAGGAGAGCTCCTCGTGTAGCTCAGGTACAGTCCTAACTTTGGCAGCAAATGATTGTCCTGTTCTTTAATTGCTCACTATCTTCAATATTTTTTTTGTGATGTCAATCTTATTTTTCCCCCCCTTCATTTCTTGCTTAGCCTAATGTAAGTCCAGTCGATGAATATGGAGCACTTATTTATGCTGGACGATGGGGAATCCATGGTATCTCTCGTCCAGGGAGGGTTACATTTGCACCAGGCAACGTTGGGTTTTCAACTTTTGGGGCACCCCGGCCGACAGAGGTGCATGCAAAAGCATGTTCTCTTAGTTCTATAAGCTGCCTTATCCTTCTCATTTAGTTGACAAACGATTTTCTCTATTTCTTGTTCCCCATTTTACTGCAGACCCAAATTGTCAGTGATGAAACTTGGAAACTGGTAGATGATATCTGGGATAAGAGGGTACAGGAAATTAAAGATGAAGCTTCAAAGGAGGTTCAAGAAGACGAAGAAAAACCACAACTTTTGATGGCAAGCCATTTCCTTTGAGAGAATTTGTCTCCCGCGGCTTCAGGTTCATGGGCATCTATCTTATCACATTTTGGTAATCTTTTATTGTCTGTTCTGTTTTCTTCTTGCGGGAGTATCAGAATAAGGTGACAGCTAATGGCCAAAAGGCAGGAAAACATAAAAATAAAAGTAAAAACACCCATTGGAAATAGATTGAGTTGACAATTATAAACACTTTATTGTAACTTCAGTCGCTGTTGCCATCTGCCATCAAATGGGGAAAAGAATCTCTGATCACCATTGAACTCGTCAGAGAAGTAGCAGTGATTCACCTCCACCCCTCCCCCCTTTTTTCAGGCGTAATTTTCCTTGACCTTTTGTAAAGAAAATTCCACCCAGGGACCCAGATGAAGTGATAATTACTTGAAAGGATTTTGGAGTTCATAACTGCTCTAAAATATCAAATTTATCCTCGGTACTTACCAAACTGCTCTGAAATATCAAATTTATCCTCGGTACTTACCAAATTCCTAGGTTTTCTATGGTTCTTCAAACCTAGAGAGTATGGGTAGTAATTTTGACAGGCAATGATGATACGTGATAATTATGATCATTTAAGGTAATTTTGAATCTTGGAGAGTATTTATCATTCTATACTGGTCCATGATTGAAAATTTCCTTTTTATTAAAATAAAAACTGCTTAGAGGAACCTATGATGATATAAGGAAGTTTTCCTTATTATTAAGTTGGAAAAACGTAAACATCTCAACTTGTCATGCATATTACTTCTTCGCTATCGCATAATAATACCCATCAATCCGATTGTTTTCTGCGCAGCATTTTGAGCTCATAGGGCTTACTTCAGAGGGAACAAGGTTCATAGCGGTTGCAGAATCTCATTAAATTTTGTCGGAGGTAGTATTGACGTTTGACATTGAGCCACAAAAGAGGCACTGAGGCTTCCAGTTTGAGCCCGAGCAAATTGCAAGTCTATGGAAGAGTTGTGACTATTCAAATAGTTCTATTGGTCTTTAACTTGAGAAATCAAATTTCTCATAGGGATACGTCATTGGGTATCTCCAACAAAAGCATCAGAATAATTCTACAGGAATAATTTGTTTTTATTATAGATGTACCATGACCACATGAGTTTCTATTGTATTCTTAGTCTTCTATAGCAAAATTTTCAAGGAATCCCATTGCTGTAAATTAATTTCTGTTGTATACTCCTTGACGATGATGGCAGGGTTCTTTTATCATTTTTGGGGCGTAGGATATGCACATTATGAGTTTCTCATATAGGTAAGCTGGTGGCGTGGCATCAAAAAATGATTTTGATGAGTTTCACAGCACCAATACCTGCCCTTGCACTGGTACCCTATCTCTTCATCAATTGCATTTACAGATTCACATCTAGCGGCCACCTCCTCAGATGCATAATGTCTCCAAGTTCCGAGTTCTTGCTTGAATTATTTGGAAGTGGCTTTATGTTTTCCATAAACCATTAGGCCTACAATAAGAAAATGGGATGCTGGTCAAAAAGTAAGAAAATGAGATCTTTCATTGATCTCTGCTCAATCCATTCCCCCCTCCCAAAAAAAAAGAAAATCGCAATTGAAGATCATGAAATTTTAAAAACACAAATAGAGATCCGTGACAACTTTATGAAAGACCCTAAAAAAAAATTTTTAAAAAAAATCCCTACTTGTATTTTTCAAATTCTAGGATTTTTTTTTGTGATTTTCGCCAAAAAAAACACAAAAAAGGGCTTTTATATATATATATATATATATATATATGTAACTACACAATATAATTTAAGTTCAAGTTCTCTAAGTTTTCTGAGAAAAATGTGGATTTAAAAGCCGTGTATCTATATAATTGCTTAGGGCCAGCAAGTGCACCAATAATTGGCGGTTTCAGCAGCTCTAGACCCTGGGCTGTGGCATTGTGTGAAAACAGGAACGTATGTGAAGGGAACAGACATTGGATTGAGAGTCTGAAGTGTAATTAATTGCGACCCGTGACTCTTGTTCTGTCTATTTCCTATCTGACAAACAATGCCTCATGAGTAGCTTACTACCTTCCAACTAAGCACCTTCCACAGTCACTAAATACAACCACTAAACAACACTTCAATTCTCATTAAAATATACACATGTAATCATTCATGTGTGTGTGTGTGATTTTTTCTTTCTGTTTTTTTTTTCCCAATCTTAATTCAACATCTACTGAAACTACATTTATGACTATATTTCTAGAATCTAGGGGAGGAATATTTCTTTGTTTGGGCCAATGTAATTGTGATTTAATATGTTGATGAAGTTAAAAATAGTTACTTGTGTTTTTTTTTTTTTTTTTACCTGAATGTGTTTAATGTTATTGGAACTTTACATGTTTACATTGTTGATAAAACTCTGTATTTTGTCGTTTCCTTTTGAATGTATTGTGAGAGTGAATCATATTCGACTCATATTACCTTTCGAGTTAAATGGATTTTAATACGCTTGTGACAGTTGTATTCATTATTCAAGATCCCAATCCAATTAATCAACTAAAATTTTTGCTGGTAAAAAAAAAATCAACTAAAATTTTAAAGGGTCAACCTATTTAATTTATGGCCAGTGTGTGTAGACTTGAATAATCTCCGTATGCTAACTGTTTTAATAAGTCGATTCTTAATATAAGACTTATTTTGTGATATAAATTATATTATAAAATGAGTTTTACATTAAGAACCGGAAGAGTGTTTTTTTTAATCCTAATAACTAGATAACTAACTTGTAAATATTACAGTTAGTTAATTATTTGTTAAAAATATCTTAGTTTCCTTAAAATATACTTTTTAATAATTTGCACTAGAACTACTTTGGATAAAAATCCTCTTAAAATTGTCACCAAAAAAAAAATCCTCTTAAAATATGCAATCAATGAGGGTTTATAAATTTAGATTGGAAAATAAATTGAGATTTTATATTTATAACCAAAATAAACTTGTAATTAGTTTTTATATTTCTATTAACAAGGAGATCAAATCTGTGTAAATATTTAATCACAATAGTTTTTGTTTTTGCTTTTTTGTTTTAATACACAATACTTAAATTTGAGGCCTAAGGAAAACACATTGAAACACATCCAAGTACTGCTAATAGTGCTCTACGAATGCTACAAGAAAATAAAAAGGGAATTTCAACCAAGTTCTACACAAGATAAATAATTACTGAAAAGTCTCAATAACAATTTCAACAACCTATAATAACAAGTCTTATAGTGAGAATGACAACCTCTGAGACTTGTTTTTTAATTGTTTTCCTTGCTTGGGACCTCATTATAATTCTCCGAAAAATAAAGTTTTGTCACATGCCTTCTTAATCCCTCTAAAAAAAAATCCCATGACAATCCAAAATCAAAAGAAATGAAAAAATATTTATATGAGACACACACATAAGTCAAGACGTGAGTAGATCTAAAGGAAGAAAAAAAGGAACCGTATAACTCTCCCTCTTGGCTTCATCATTGCCTTAAATTTTCTATACAGTAAGCACCTTCTCTTCCATCTCTTTCTTCTTTATTGTTTCCTCAGCATCTCCTTCTCTGATAATGGCCTCCAAACTCTTTCTTCTTCTACTCTTCCTCTTCCTCTCACCCCTTCTTCAGCCTCAACCATTTGTGAAAGCAGACGCCAAACTGATTCACAAAACCTGCAGAAAGACAAAGTACTACAACCTCTGTTACTCTTCTTTGAAATCTGACCCCACAAGTCCCAACGCAGACCCAAAGGGTCTGGCAGTGATCATGGTTCAGATTGGAACGGCAAACGCAACAGCCACTTCCTCCTACTTGTCGTCTAAGTTGGTTGGGCCTTCAAACGACACGGTCCTGAACAAGGTCCTCAAGGAGTGCTCAGAGAAGTACAGTTATGCTGGTGAAGCTCTTCAAGCTTCTGTGCAGGATCTGGCCAATGAAGAATATGACTATGCTTATATGCGTGTCACTGCAGCTGCAGACTACCCTAATGCTTGTCACAATGCCTTTAAACGCTACCCCAGTTTGGTCTATCCTCCAGAAATCGCTCGTAGAGAAAATGGGTTGAAGCATATCTGTGATGTGGCTATGGGGATTATTGATAAGCTGGTTTGGTATTAGCTCAATCAAAAATACGCCTTCTCTCATTGTAATGCAGAAACATTATATATCTTGTGTTCATCTTTCTGAATCTTATTATCTTATGATATAAGGTGTATATTTGTGTTTTCTCTAGCTCAATGCTCATTCATGCCATTTCTTGCATTTTTTGTGATAACCATCAGTATTGTCGACTGATTTAGATCTGAGCCCATGGCATGCCAAAGGAAGATATTTCCAGAAACTCATACTACTTTTTTTTTTTTTGAGCAAAATTCCAGAAACTCATACTAAAAACTAAGACCATAGTGAAGGGTATAGAGTCTTTGTACTTAATCCAACCTTTTCTTTTTGTTGAGTACATTTGGTATTTGCGTATTGCAAAACATAAAGCTTGATCTAGTGAGAGAGATATCCCTACCGTTAGGGCCTACTTGGTTAGGTTAATCTTGATGGTGCCATGAAATGAGGATTATGCGTGTTGAAAATCTTCCACTAGTAGCAGTGTGTATGAGTTGTGCAAATTAGTTGGGAGATTGATGATGGGTCCATGGATGTTACTGGAAGTCAGGTGACCAAGTTGTTTGTGATTGGTTCCTTCTCAGCACCCTCTCTCCCCCCCCCCCGGGGGTCTTTTTTCTCCTTTAAAAAGATCTTTGAAATAATTGATCCCACCAATGACTCATCGCCTCTTTTGAATTTAATTCCTGTCATTCTCCTTCTTCAAAGCCATACATCAGATAAAGAACTAGGGCTAGGGTAGCCCACTTGTATCCTTGTAAAGTTGGAGCAGGTTTGTTCATCTCTCTCTCTCTCTATATATTTATATATATAATAGTTTCATTGTCAAAGAGATAATAAAGGTAATAGTAAAATGGGGCCTGTGACATGATGATTGAGCCCTACCAACCAGACTCCAATGTGTTCTGTGTTCTTGGATTTCAAGTATTGGGAGCAAGATTAATCATGAACTGGCCTACATCTCATAGTAAAGAACCTCTCACCACATTGCGTCTTGGATGATGTGAGGATTAATTAGTACAGAACAACATAGAGAAGCTGTGGAGGATCCTCCAGGATCATTGAAATTATTATATAGTATAGTGTCCTTCACTGCAAGTCTTGCTGCCTTCACAATGGGAGCTAACTGGAAAAGTAACATTATTTTCAGAGATAAACAATCTCTGTGTGTGTGTGTGTGTGTGTGTGTGTGAGACAAACAAAAAGAATTTAATTTGCAGATTAAAAACTGAAAGCCAACTGTAGAGTCCTTCTTTTAAGGCGTAAACTTGTGCGTAATAAGCTGAAAAGGGGTTTGCTGCTTAAAAGAACCAATACTAACATAGACACATGAAATTTTTTTACTAAAAGCTGGATAAGAATAAATCTTTGGATAACTTTCTTGAAGATGGCTAACACAATAATTAAAAAATAAAAAGGTTAATACCACCAAAGAGTTAACTCTACAGAAACTGACATCTGTCAGTTATATGTACAATTAATTATCAATGGTCCTACTAATTTCTCACACTACATTTAACTATCATTGATTCTTCTTCTCCCCTTTTTCACTTTCAGTTCTTCTCTTTATTTTGGACCTTCTTCAGATCCTTGGTTGGGTTATGGTTTACTGCATCAAAAACAAAATTTGGGCTTTCCGATTTTAAGTTTTTGTTTTATTCTTTATTGGGCCTACTTGAAAGGCCTCATTTTGTAGCAGGCCTGAATCTGAATTAAACATCCCAATGACAATATGATGGGCCCGTAATTACCGAAAGCTTTTTAAAAAGGGGATATTATGTGTTAGGCAATTTTTTTAAAAAAAAAAATAAATCAAGGTGATTTTCCATGGGAGAAAAAAGGTAATTTTGAATTTTCTGTTAATGTTTTCCGGAAAAGAATGTGCAGCTGTGTATACAAGTATATATATTGAAAATTGTCATATTGAGTGCATTTCCATTCGCAAAGTTTTTATATTTGTTTTCCTAAAATGGTTAATGTTTTTTATTTCATAATTTAAAATATGATTGACTCAATTTCATTCCTTAAAATTTTTTACGATCGTTTCTTTATCTATTCAAAATATAGGACTAATAACTTTTTGCCCATAAATGTATATTTTTAAAATCAAAATCACTATATTTTTATGGCAATTAATATGTATGAAATTCATCTTAAGCTAATAAGCTATGTTATTTTTAAATTATTCGATGGCAAAAAAAATTAATTTAAAATTATTAATCATATCACTTATATCATTATGTTTTGGTTTAGATGCGCTTTTTTTTTAAAAAAAGAAAAAGAAAAAGTCACATCTGTAATAGGAATAACTACTAACAAGTTAATTCTATAAGTTGTTCCAGAGAAATGAGAAATTCTATCTGATTTTGAGGTGTGAAATGAAAGCGTGATTAAAAAAAGGTAAAAGAAAGAACGTAATTTAAAAATATTGAGTAAATAAATAAAAAATGTATTTTCAATTTTTTTAAAAATACATATATCTTGTAACCAAAAAGATATACTACCTTCAGTCCTAATTATAAGACCTAGTTGACTAATTTGAGGAGATTAAGGAAATAAGTTGAGTTAGTTATTTATCCTAAATATGTGTTATCTTTCCTAAAATATCCTTACTAATCAAGTGTATTAACTAGAACTATTATTGTTAGAAGGGTTACTTTGGGAAAAAAAATATAAATATGAGAAATAAAGTAGATTGGAGTCTTATATTTAAAATCAAAATAAAAATCAAATAGGGTTTTATATTAAGAATCAGAGGCAGTATATATATACCCCGCGTAGAGCCGGGAAAACGGGCCGAGCCCGTCGGGCCGGCCCTTTTAGGCCCTGAAATTATGAGGGCCGGGCTTGATATTTTTCTCTTAAAATGAAACATAAGCCCTGGAGGGCTAGCCCTGGAGGGCCGAGGGCTTAAAAGGGCCGGCCCTTTTAAGCCCTTTTATATTTTTTTTTATTTTTAAAATTTTTTTATATAATATTAATGTTATTAATTTTTTACATTGTTAATAATATTTCAAATATTTAGTTATTATTATTATTTTAAAAGTAAATTTAGTTTTAGATAATAATTTATCCAATTAAATTTTTAAAAAATGGGTTAATTTGGACTTTAATAATGATTTGATTTATATTATATGCGTTGATATTTTTAAACTATATATATATTTGATAATAGAATATTTTTATACTTATATAACTTGTGATTCTATAATTTGAATTAGAAATTCATGAGTTTTAACAGCAATGTTTCTCACATTAAAGTAAAAAAATAGTTAGATTGCAAAATTTAAAAATAAAATTCTTATAAAGAAGAAAAACTTGATATTTTTGTTACGAAAGAAAAGTATACTTATGAAGAAAAGTAATTAATTATAGTGATGATGAAGTTTCAAAAGATTAATAATAGTGTTTATTTATTGCACAATTGCATTATAGATAAAACTTTTAGATGTTGTTATCTTGTTAATGAATGTTTTAGATGTTCTTAGATGTTGATGAATATTTATATATGATGATATTTTATATGTGACTTAATTTTATTCATATTTATGTCTTTTATTAATAATTTCATTGATTTATTTTTATAAAAAATATAATAAATATAAAAAATAGTATTTTTTCTTAAACGGGCCAAAAGCCCGCGGGCCGGCCCTGGCCCTGTAGCTTAAGGGCCGGGCTTAGCAAATTGGGGTATTTTTAAAATTCCAGCCCTGGAGGGCCGGCCCTTTTAAGCCCGCCAGCCCTGAAGGGCCGGCTCTGGAGGGCCGGGCCGGCCCTGATTCCCGGCTCTACGCGCTAGAATGGCACCTGCAAAAAATTGGAATGAAAATAGAATGGATTGATAGGGTTAATTTGGTAATTTTGGTAAATATATTATAGAAACCAGCATTTCTTGCAGAAGCTGTTTCCCGCCAACTGAGAGAAGCGAGCGAAGATCCCCCTTTCGGCTTGTGCTGTGCTGCTTCTTCGTCTTCCTGAAGCTGAAGTTGTCTCATAAAACTGAGGAATGAAGGGTGGAACTTTACAAATAAACTGGCACGAAACCAAACCAGTCCTATCCCTTGATTTCCACCCACTCACCGCCACTCTTGCCACCGGCGGCGCCGATTTCGACATCAAGGTCGTTCTTCCAATTACTGTCTGACCATTGTGTTATTTCGCAACGTTTTCACTCAAAGCTTAAACTGAAAACTAGTTTTTTCTCTTGCATAAGGTTGATTTTGTTTCTTAGTCTGTTGTCCCTTTGACAGGATTTGGGAATTGGGGTTTTCGTGGGTCGGATTAGAACTGGGACATAAATCGTTGAAAATTTCGGAAAAATATATATCTTTTTAATATTTATTTTTCGGGATTTTGTGTAGTTCATTGGGAAAATGTCACTGAGTTCCTCTTTATTTTTGATTATGTGAATTACATTATTTGGTTTTCGTCCGAACAAGAAAATTGTTAATCATAAGACGGTTAATGGAAGATTGTTCTTGTTACAATCTTGTAAACATTTCTAGTGCTTAGAGAATTGGTTTACAGTTTCACTAATAGAAGAAACTGCCACTAATATTTCATATTTATTAAAGAAAAGTGTTTAAAATTATATCTTCGTATTTAAATGTCTTGTTTCTATTTATGAAGATAGGATGCCTGAGCTGTATCTGTCATCTACAATAATAGAGGTGGATGCATCGTAGACATTTTTTTTATTTAATTATTATTTTAAAAATTTTTACTCTCCTTAATTTGGAGAATAATTTGAACTAAGAGATACCATCTTCGTAAGGGAGGAGGAGATGCTCTTTGGGGCACTTAGACAAGTGATCTCAGTTCTGTTGTTGAATTATAGAATATCCCCGGTATCTGTAACCTTCGTTCAAGTTCCAATATATCAGTGTGAGACATTTTCGATTATTCAACTGACTTGTGTTTCAGTGCATTGCTTATGAAAAATGCAAATAAGGTTGAGAGTTTTACTTCTCTATCTGACACTGCTTCAATAAGTGAACATGTTAAGACCATGCCTCTTGAAAATTTCTGCATGTTTTATTTTTTGGATTTCACCAGGCTAGACTAACTATTGATTTTTAACTTTTATTTCCAGCTTTGGTCTGTAAAACCTGCAGAGGCACAAAAGAAACTACCTGTAGTGTCATATCTGAATAGCTTGTCTTACCATAGTTCTGCAGTAAATGTAATTCGTTTCTCCTCTTCAGGTATGTCAGTATCATTGGTTTCCTCTCCCTTTCCCTCCACTCTGGATTAATAGGAGTTTCACTAAATAATTTTCAATTTATAGTGATAATACAATTTATCCTGGCCGAAATATTTGACCATCGTATCAGTTATTTTGGTATACAGTGACCCTTAGTGTCTGAACTATCTTGATCCTAAAATGTCATCTCTGTATGCTCTATAGAGTTCATTAGCAGTTTGAAAGAGGTTCCTCATGGAAATGGTTTCTGCTTGCCTTCAGAAGCCTCCAGAAAATAACAAGCAGGTTTAACTAGAGTTGATAGTTCTAAAATTCTATTTTAGTCCTTTGTCCCTTTTCCAAATTAAGTTACACAGACTCTGAAGCACTCTTTACTCCTTTTGGTTACTTCAGATTTTTTATTTTCCCCAAGAAAAAATTGGGTGATAGTATTGCTACTAAGAACAATATTTTGGTTCATGCAGGGGAACTCTTGGCTTCTGGTGCTGATGGTATGCCTTTATCTGCCTTTGAACTGCTTTAATTGTTTTAAAGTGTGATAATATAAATTGGTGATGTTTGTGGACTGGACCTTCCTTATTTTCAGGAGGTGATCTTATAATATGGAAGTATCATCTGATAGATACAGATCAAACATGGAAGGTCCTCAAGATGTTAAGGTAAGATAAGAGGCATTTGATTTGATTCATGTGTGAGCCCTGCATATATTATGAATTAATAGAATGTACAATAGGCAGTATTTTGCTTTGCTATGATTTTTATTTTATGCAAATTTTATATTTCTGTATACGATGAAGATTTCATAGACTAGTCAACCAATAGGCAGTGGGCCCTTGGTCCTTTTTTCTGTATTGATGTATGTCTTCTTTATTTCTGAAGGCTATGACATAGAAACAAAGACTATACTTGACATCAAAACTATAATTTATGATATAACCACTCATCAGTCCAAGGGCCCTAAAACAGTTTTCCCTTTTGGTCTTCCTGACGGGATTCTGCTTCTAATAAATACTACCTCTAGTCCTTAATATAAGAGCTCATTTGACTTTTATTTTAGTCTTAAATATAAGACTCCAATCCACTTTAGCTCTCATATTTATTCATTTTTTCTCAAGTTACTCATTGTAATAATAGTAGGTCTAACCAATACACTTTGATTACCAAGGATATTTTAGAAAATATAACACCTATTATTATAAATAACTAACTTAACTGGTTTTTTTTATTTACTCAAATTAGTCAAGTAGCTCTTATATTAAGGACGGGAGGTAGTATATTTTAAAGACCAGTAGCTCCCCCCGTACCCCCCCCCCCAAAAAAAAAAAAAAAAAAGACCTCATGTTTGGCCCGTTACTTTTCTTCTTATCAAGATTTTTCTGTGAAATAGGTCTCATCACAAGGATATCCTGGATCTTCAGTGGTCTCCTGATGGCACATTTTTAATTTCTGGGTCAGTTGATAATACTTGCATTATATGGGACATTAACAAAGGTGAGAATGGCAACAAATAATTGGAGCATGTCCAATTAGTATGCTTTAACTCTGGTAGAAGGCAGTTGAAATGTTTCAACTGTGACATCTGTTGATCATATCTTTGTTTATATTGCTGATTGTACTTGATTTTTATGTCTCAGGCACCAATCTTCAGGCGTTGGAATCTCATGCTCATTATGTTCAGGGAGTTGCATGGGATCCTCTAGGGCAATATGTTGCTTCTCTTAGTTCCGACAGAACTTGCCGAATCTACATTAATAAACCTAGAAAATCTAAAGGAAGTGGGAAAATCAATTTTGTCTGCCAGCAAGTTATTTCCAAGGCAGTACATCCATTACTAGATAATTCTAAGGTTTAAGATAAATTGAATCCTATTCTATCTTTAAATTTATTGATTGATTTGTCATGTACATGAACCTCACGAAGTTTTTGGAATGCAGTCAACAAATTATCATCTTTTCCATGATGAGACGCTGCCATCTTTTTTCAGGAGACCAGCCTGGTCTCCTGATGGCTCGTTTCTTGTTGTGCCTGCAGGTAATAACTTGAGCAAATTCTGATTCAATTTATTTCTGAGTTTTTGACTCTTCATGATAATGTATAATCTATCTCTGGTTTTACGGGTCAGAGGTTGTGATAAGCTGTGATTGCAGATTCTTCTAGAGAGCCCATTTTTAGCGAAGCATAGAATAATCTACAAAAAATTGGATAGTATTCAAGTTAGTTGAATCTGTAGTTTACCTGGACTGCTGATGAGTTTATTTGCTTCAGCCTGATGAGACTCCTCATTTTTTTGGTTTTGGATGGTGAAAGTTATAATTATCTCTAGGTAGTAGTAAATTTTACCTTTGCAGTTTGGCCTGACTTTTTGCAGTCAAGTTCCAACTTAATGCGCTTTCTTTAGTATTTCTTGGTGCTTGAAAATTGTATCATGTCGGTTGGTTTCTTCCTTTCAGACTCTGATTTCCTGAACAGTTGTTATTCTATGTTATCTATTTTTAAAAAGGAAAAAAATTACATGGCAATTCATCTATTTCAGGCTCATACAAAGCTACTTCTGGATCTGAATCTGTAAATGCAGCTTACATATTTTCTAGAAAGGACCTTTCTCGGTAAGTCTGCCAGATTTTTCTGCTTTAGGCGATGAAATCTTTCTACTTCAAATGCTGAAGATGGCTCGCAGAGTCAAAACATTTTTTTTTCCCAAAAAAAAAAAATTGAGATTACATGTTATACTTTAATACCCAGCATGCTATGCTATATTAATATATTCATGGACCATGTCCTAAAGGCATTTTGTTTGTGATTTTCCTGATATGCAGGCCTGCCATACAGCTTCCTTGTGCAAACAAAGCTGTGGTTGCTGTCCGATTCTGTCCTGTTAATTTCAGCCTTCGGGGAACAAATTCAGGTAATTTTGTGCTTGTTACTTGTACATCAGCTCAGTTGCAGTATATATATGATTTAGGGGGCCATTTCTTCAGTCATGTGGAGCTTAATTCTGGCACTCTGTCCCCTAAAGTGATCCAAAGTTGAACTACTTTCTTGTAGAAACATTCTGCTTGTCTTGGAGGATGTATATCTATACTGAAGCAAGATAATAATTGTATTTATTTGTGCAGCTGAGTTGTTTAAACTTCCCTATCGCCTCATTTTTGCGGTGGCCACTTTGAATTCATTGTACATTTATGACACTGAGAACAATCCTCCCATAGCTATAATGGCTGGTCTCCACTATGCTGCAATAACAGACATTGCATGGTAAATTTTTTAGTGACTACCAGGTCCCTTTTACATGTTTTGGTTTAAGAATTAATGCAATCGCCTGCCTCTGGGGAAAGTTTTTAACTGCTTCCGGCATTGTTTAAAAGGTCACCTGATGCTCATTATTTGGCATTGTCCTCTCAAGATGGTTTCTGCACTTTGGTGGAATTTGAAAATAATGAATTAGGAACACCTATCTCTTCATCAGGTACACCACCCCCCCCCCAAAAAAAAACCTATTTTTCAGCTTTATCATATATCCACTACACTGAGGTTTCTAATATTTCTGTAACATATTGATCCAGGAGAAAAGAAAGTTTCTGGCAAGGATAATACACAGCCGAAGACATCTGACAATTTGGTCATTGAAGCTACCGGGAATATTAGTACAGCTGAAGAAGAAAGCATGAAAAATGAAGCCAGAGGAAAGGCTGATAACATGATCATTGAACCAACTAGCAACGTTGGTGTAATTAATGAACAAATCAGGAAAGCTGAAGCAGAAGAGCAACGAGATGAGAGGGTCACAGAAGTAACTGGGAATGTTGGGGTAGTTGTAGCAGAAAGTAGTAAAATGGAAGCACAAGAGAAGGCCGACTACATGGTCATTGAGAAAACCAGCAATGTTAGTGGAGTTGAGGCAGCTGGCAGGGAAAACGAGGCCCAAGGGAAGGCTGATGACATGGTCATTGAGGAAACTAGCAATGTTGGTGGAGTTGTGACAGCAAGCCAGGAAAGTGCAGCAGGAGAGAAAGCTGTCTTGGTCATTGAAGAAACTGGAAATGATGGCGCAGTTGTGGTGGATATCAGTAATAGTGAAGCAGAGAAACAACCAGTAAGTTCAGATAGTGTGAAATCGGATGAACAAAAGAAGACAGAGAAACAAACATCTAGTTTAGATAGGAGGGAAGCAGAAGAAAGAGTAGCATGTAGTTCAAGAGGAACAACGACAACATCAAATAAGACAGGCAAAAAGCGTATAACTCCCATTGCCATTGATCCATGAGAGAAACACAGGCATGGATCCCCTGCGGTCATTTTATTTGATTGCTGGTAGTCTTGAAATTTGACCTATCTCTAGCCCCTGCCGTTCAAAAATTTATCTTTTATGGCTTCCAATTTGCTAGTTTTAGAGGTGGAATTTTTGCAAGGAAATGGGTAAGCTACATACCGTCACAGCCACTCATCAGTCCCTGACCATTGAGACCTATAAGTATTCTACCGAGTAACTGGAAAGTTGCTGCGGCTACTGTCACTAGCATTTTTACTGCCTCTAACCAGTCACCATAGCTAAACACTATTATTTCCAGTGCATAATTTGAGTGTCAGGGGATAAAAGAAGAAAGATTTTATGATTGCACTCTGCAGTCGACTGCAGAAATCCATCTGAGAAACACCCTGCGTGTTTATCCTTGTATATTTTTTGGGCAGTCTACATATGAAAGTTCCTTACTATTTCCCTTTTTCTTTTTTTGTCCTTGTTCTATGAACTGCATCTGGTTATCTATTCTTTAATGTAGATTCCAGTTCGACAAGTAATGTAATTTAGCATGATTTTTGCATCTCTTGGGTTACTTTACACGTTGTATGAGTGGAAGGAATCCATGCTATGATTGTCAAATTATGATACTCCGTATTTTTAGTACAAATCTGAATAAAATTAAAATTGAATAGAGTTTGTTCAAATTACAAAGGAAATACCATTAATATAATCTATGAAGCCGAACATTACTTGCCAACAATAAACAAGTTAGGAAAAGAAAGTATTGAAAGTGGTGAAATTTCTTTTTTTTTTTTTTTTGGTTTTATCAAAGGGATTGCAGAATAATAATCTATTTTTGTTTTTGGCCAAAAGAATACTAATTAATTCTTTCTTCTCTGAATTTCAATGCCTGAAGAGGATCATAATCCTTCATTTGATAGCGTAGATGCATGTCAACAGATATATCCCAATTGTATCGTACTTAAATAACAAGAGGTTCCCACTGAGCATATTATTTAGTAAACCTCTGCATGTTTGTAACAGGGAATCAGGATTACGGCAACAAGCTCTGAACGATGGCACGAATGGAAAGTAATATGCTCAAAGAAACAGTTCCATTCGCGCATTAAATGTTTCTCGCATACCTAGTCTTCTTTGGATGTCTCTCTTTCATGTAAATTGGTTTGTTTGAGCTCAACAAAGTTTCATTCACTTTCTTTCAACAATACTGTTCTGTTCGGCCGTCATAAACCACAACTTGATGATTAGCTCCAAAAGTTGCTAATTGCTTGTATATGCCTTCAATAATAACAGACCTTTTCAGAACCTCCTGGGGAATGTGCACATTCTCCTCTATGGATGGCACCTCGCCTTCTTCACCATGTGGACCTACTCCAATGGCTCCCTGACCTTCACACTGCCTCAATTTCATTGTCTTTTTAGTGACATCATAACCTCCTTCCGCCAAGGACTTGAAATTATATTATTGATTCAATTGTGTTGGAAAAACTAAAGTTTAACGAGGTTAATGACACTATTTATTCATAACATCCATTCATTGTTTAAATCACACACCAGCGACTTATTAGCCTTCTTTTAATAAAATTAAAGGATAAATGGATAGTTTTCAATTAAATGTAATGATATTTCTAATTGAACGCCTTTATATTAACAATATAATTGTTTAAAAGTTGAAGTGCACATAACTCCCTTTAAAAATTTGAATCATATGGGAATAACACCAATAAATTTTAAAATTTGATTAAAAAAAATCTTATACTTTCAAATTTAAATAAATCTCCAAGACAAGTAAATCTATTATCTGAACTTGAAAAGCTAACGCTTAATGTTGCAAACCCGCACAAGCGTTAGCTTCAATCCCCCCCCCCCCCCTTTCTTCTCAACACAGCCTCAATCCACAGGGCTCCCCATACAAAAAGCAACAAGCTTCACGACCTCCGGAACATTCTTCTTTGGTAGTCTATCAGGCTCCCCATCATCCAAGGGCATAACATTGAACGGTGCTGACAGGATTTGTTCATTTACGCTTGGTTACAACCTAATTTGCCAACTATGACACATCTTCTGAACTGTACAAGATGTGAAGCAGCTCACTGGCTCACATCACACTTCGAAAGAAGATCAATGGAGATGGATATGTACCCGACCAAGATGAAATTGATAGCAGACATTCTCCTCCTCACCAGTACCCTAGTTTCACCTAATGATCTAACCTCAAGTTCTTGCAGGTTTAGATGTAAACCATGATTATGAGATAGATGCAAAGAATTGGACAAAGAATAGAAAGGGAAAAAAATGTATACCTCGCTCTCTGCTATCTTAAGTTTCGGTGACTCTGGTAGAACTGAAATGTATATTCTGTCGCTTGCTTTTGGAAAAGCAGGTAAAATCTAAAGCAGCACTTAAGACTCGTGAAAAACAGTTTTAGGTTAGTAGCTATCGCTGAATGAGCAGCAGCAGCCCAGGGTGACAATGTCAGGTTGTGAGTGAGCTCTGGTTCACCATAGAATCTGAACTCTGAAGAGTATGCTGGTCAAAATACAATGCAAAGAAAGCCAAACTCTAATTTGCAGCCAGAAATATGGTCAACCTGAAGACAGAAGTTATTGAAAAGAATAAGTTACTGCAAAAACAAATGGTACACCTAAGAGGATGGGGTGAGAAAATGTTTTTAAGACTGGATCAAGGAAAAAGACTGTCAGGGTAAATTGTTATCATGATTCTCAGAAATTTCATTTGGAATGATCAAAACTCGAGTAAGCTTAAATCACGCCAGATGCTTTGAGATTAAATTAAAAAAATAAAAAAGAAAGTAATGAACTCACTCTGTGATTCCATTTGCCGGGATGGAGATTCATAATCAGTTAATAGTTGCGAAAGGATAATTTCGTTCCACGTATCAGGCACTCCAGGCAGACACCAGTGGCTACAATCTTGGACAGATGGATTATCACTCCAGTTACCAACATGGGCATCACTTCGAAAAGCTGTCAATGATGTGACATGGAGAACATTGATGGGAACTGGGACATTTTTTACCACTTCCAAAACTAAGTCTGAAAACAAACTTTGGTCCCTTCCATCAGTTTCTGGCATGGGGTACTGGGTTACAGTACAAGTGAAGCGGGGTTGATCACTGATGCAGACAAGGAAACTAGATCAGTAAGGTTGACCGGTGCAGATTAAACCAGTGAAATTTCATTTTTCTGGTTGAAATCTTGGGAAACGATATTTCGAAAGGTTATAACATTCTAGCATAATGGAAAAACAAAAGTTAAAGTGAGGAAAAGCAGCCGCTGATGCCACAAGCATGCAACTATATAAATAATGTCCTGAAGGTGAGAAGTCTTGTATCAGACAGGTTCACCAGAAGAGAGAGTATTTTCAAAAAAAATCACATATAGGGAAGAATACCTCCAATGAGATGGCTCATACGTCCTAAAGAAGACACGTGTTCTATTTTTGTTGATCTTTCTCTCTATCCATGATGCCCAAGTGCCAAGTGCCGTTCTGAAGGCAATAGGAATTGACATCCCAATTTTCAATGACCTTCCAACTTGGAAATAGCAACCCCTGATGGAAACAGATAAATACACAGGCATAAACAAAATTAAAAACCATACTGATCTCGGCGGATGAAAATACACGTCAAGCATCACAAACATAAATCATAATCTGATTTTATAAAAATATGTACTACAAATTATATTCACCCAAGAAAAAGTCTTTCAGCTTTAAATTGAAACAGAGGATAGTAAATAAAATATAATTTCAACAAGACTCACCATTGTATAATATCAGGGCGAAAGCTAGACCCCAACCTTCCTTTCAAAATTTTTTTTATGCTTATTTTCTTTTGGTGTTAAAGACATGCCTCATATTCAGTAGCTATAACAAACATGACCAAGGATCTAAGTGAGACAGAATAAAATCAATGCTCAAGTGAATAAAGTCTCACTCATCTCAATTGTATACTCAAGTGAATAAAAGTCTCATTCATCTCAATTGTCAAGTCTCTTGAATGTGAACATTACTGCAGGAAGGAGTTGTGACAATCATGGAAAAAGGCAGCAATCACCCCAACATCTAAAAATATACTTAACTGCTATTAGCAGCAATTTGTCAGAATTTTTTTGCAGCTCTGGTTTGCATCATGGAGAACTTCAACAAACATTACTTTCAACCCTCTTGAACAATAGCATTTAAAAGCTACAGAATCATGTTGATGAGGTTAGGAAAAATAATGATGGATACCACGAGCCATTAAAATAAATAGCTAAGAAAGTTTTGCATTGGCGGAAGATAACTAAGAAAAATAAGTGCGAAGCAATAAACAGCAGAAGAAACAATTATTGTATCAAATATGTCCATAAACATAATGACACTAAGTGGCCATTGAATGTAACAAAGAAAGGAACTTACGCGTCAAAAAGTTTAGACGGCACCCACCAGTGCCCAGTGTTGAATATAAGAACATCAGAATCAGCCCATCGGTCACTTATATCATCTAATCTGTCCAATCTAAGTGTTGATTTAACCCTCTTTGGCGCATGCTTAGGTACCGGACCCGGTTGCACCAGGAAAACCGATCGAAAGTATTCAATGGTGAAATTGAAGGCACTGAACCGAACACCTAAGAATCTAATTCTCTTCGATATCTCATTTTGGTTTACTTCATAGACACTCCGTTTATCCTTCACCCCAGCCATCAGCATACATATCAGTGATTCCCATTGAGTCCTACTCATAGAATCGCCAACAAAAACAATTCTCTTGCCTCGAAACATTTCCAAAACATTACTTACATCAAACCTCGGAAGATCGCAATCACTGGGTTTCCACCTCCAATTAAGATAACTCATGTCTCTCCGTCCATTAGCAAAGCAATTGAATCCTTGTTCTACAAAAGGACACTCTGACGCATTGTACAATGGGTAAGGCGGCACCCGGACCCACCTTCCCTTATAAACATCACAGCTTTTTAACGATCCGTTAAAGTTAGAGACACGCTGGCCTTGAAAGATGGTGTGACTAAAGTAAGGAAGTAAGTACACATATCCTCCACCAACGGCAACAAAGAATGAAATTAGAGACCCTATAATCACAAGCGCGTGAAAGTGAAACCACCGGGAGAGCCCGAGCCGTCTGCATCGGTTAGCTTTAGGACTCGCAACACCGAGAGACCTTCGATTGAACGACGGCGTTGTGGTGATTGAAACGCTCCGATTCAAAACACTCATAGTCCCAAATCATCCGCCACAACGAACACATTACACATTCAAGTTCAACACAACGATTTGTAAGATAGGATGAAACGGATCGATGGTCAAATTCAAGAGTCAAAGAGGAAGATGTCGTGGCGGTGAAAGTGATGAAATCTGTGGAAAGGTGGGGACTGGCGAGCGGTTTGGAGTTGGAAGAAAACAACAGAGAGAGAAGGAGACCCTCTCAGTACAGGGAAGTACGAAGGAACTGGGGACATTGGTGTAATTGGGATCGAAGACGGAGGTCTAAGTGGTCAATTCGTAGAAGCGACTCTTCTACAAACTTCCAAATCCTGA